ACAGTTGCTTCCTTTCGAATGCATATCAAATTTGGGTGCCAACGGGATGTACAAAGACGTCGAGGGAGCGGATCCGACGTGTCCCAGAATGTGCAAGAAGTCTGTCAAAACAAATGTTAGATGGAGTTTTAATACTGTTATAGACCAGATTAGCACTAAAGCAAAGGTACTCAGAAAATAGGACATGGTGTGTTGGTCACAGGTTTCATGGTCACATGGTACCATGTAACTCAGTCACATGGTACCATAACCTATTTGGTCACATGGTACTATTTAACTCGGTCACATGGTACCATAACCTATTTGGTCACATGGTACTATTTAACTCGGTCACATGGTACCATAACCTATTTGGTCACATGGTACTATTTAACTCGGTCACATGGTACCATAACTTATTTGGTCACATGGTACTATTTAACTGTCACATGATGCATATGGTAACAATAAGTCTCATCTATTTTTCAGGGAATTAAGAGCATTCTTAAGAAGGAAGCGACAGAAGAAGCTCTTCTTTTTGATCTAGATGATCTCGATGGAAGTGAAGATCCAACGGTTAAAGTATGGATGCAATATCTTGAGAGGAATCCGGAGAACATGTACTGGAAAAAAATCCATGAAATGGAAATTCGTTCCAGAAAATCTTCAAAGAAAAAGAAGAAGGGGAAAAGTTTGGTAGATGAAGATGAAATAGAAGATGAGGGACGAGAAGAAAAAGAAGAAGAAGAACAAGAACAAGAAGCACAACAACGACAACAACCGCAAGAAGGAGTCATACCACCACAAGGGATACAAAAAGAAGCACAAAGAGTTCACGGAGTGTCAAGTCTCGAAGCACTGAAGACCGAATTGAAGGCCGATTTCAGGGCCGTGGCTAAAGCATCCGAGCTGAGAATCATCGATGCTGTGCTCCTTGGAAAAGAGGGATTTGTCCCAAGTCCCACAGTGCAGGAGAACCCGGTGATAGATCTGGTAGATAAGGACATATCCATACCCAGGTCCACAGCGACGCCCAGGTCCACAGTGCAAGAGATCAGAAAAAGTCCTATTGCGAAAGAAAGAGTTACGACAAGTCCTTTGATGTGTTCTGTCGGTACCGACGAATACTATGATCAAGATGTTGGACTTTTTGAGTTAAGACCGAGAGATGTGACTCCATTGGAGTCAGAAAAAGAGAAGACAACTGCCCAGGAGGCATTGGTTACAGAGAAAGAACCGTCTCCTAAGGAGAAAGAGGCATCAAGCAAGGAGAAAGAGCCCTCGCCTAAAGAGGTTGATCTTTCTTCCATGGACGCAGAAGTAGGAAGTAAGTATTCAAACTTTGTCATTTGGTCACATTACTTGATCACATGAGATCATATTTATTTGGTCACATGGGACCATAGTTACTTGGTCACATGGGACCATAGTTACTTGGTCACATGGGACCATATTTACTTGGTCACATGTTTTAATTAATTTGTGCATAACTTGTGTTTTGTTCAGAAAATGTCTCCGAAGAAGATGCTGAAGAGAATGATAGTGACGATGATGCTGACAGTGGCGATGAGAACACAGAAGAAGAGGGTGACGCCGATGGTGATGAGGGTGAGACAACCGATGAAGATTCTGAAAAGGATGACGCCGATGGCGATGATACTGATGGCGAAGAGGGTGAGGGAACCGATGACGATGATACAACAGCTGAATCTTCTGACAAAGAATCGGATGCCAAAACCAATGAAGACACAGATATGTCTGCCCCCCTGTTGAACATGAAGTCAATCAACCTCCACCAGCAGTTGACTCCTCTGATACAGAACAGTTGAAAAGAACAAAGAGGAAGCTTACTGATGGACCATCCAAAAGAAGCCCTTATGTAGAACCAACATCAACTGGTCCACCGGCCAAAAGACAAAGATCTCAGGCTGTAGGAGGTCGAGGCAGAGGCAGAGGTCGAGGTAGAGGTAGAGGCAGAGGCAGAGGTAGGGGCAGCGGCAGAGGTCGAGATAACACTGCCCAGGAGGATG